TTCCGAAAGTCAAGACAACTACAAAAAACACAATATTGATTTGGCACATGAACCATCTGTCTAATGGGACATTATAAGTGCTAAAATCCACATCCATTTCCATTGTTTTTGTACTTGCAACAGCATTAACAGATAGCATACAGAAATGCAATGCTGTGTACAGAAACAATAATGGCTAATGGCTAGTCAGAGATGGTATGACACCACTTTTTCTTTTCTGATTCCAACATTAACTGACAAACTACTACACTTTATAGTGGGGTAATTTAATTGAAGTACTTCACTTAATATCTAAAAAACATCTAAAAGTAGGCTCAAACTAGGCATGTTTATCGGCACGCTGCACTCAGTTAACTGCTCAAGGCACCAGTATTCAAATTAAAATCACTATTCGGGTACTTGCTATCTTTCCTCACATGAAAATGGAGCAAATATACAAGCCAACAGTTCAGTGAAATGCCAATTTAATGTTTTAATTGAACTGTAAAATGTAAACGTTTTGCTCAAATTAGCAAGTAAGTATGTTATACTTTGCTAGTCTGAAATGCGAGCGCCAAATGCTCAGGTGTGTTGTTTTTCTAAAATAAATACATAATTTCTTCTGTGATTTTTTATCCGTTTCTCCATGTTGAGAATAATTATTGTTATTAGGATAGCTGTTTACTTATGCCTTGGGTTGAGTCTGTCAGCCAATCAGAGTCAAGAGTCAAGACTGTAAGCTCAACATTCATTGCAGGTGCAATACTTCTTCTCGTTTCTTAGCATTTTTTTTTACTTTTCTGTGGTTATTTGAATATCCATTCATTAACTCTTATGGACTGTTACATCTCAAAATTATGCATATCCCTAGCTCAAACTACTCAAGCACAGGAAGAAATACACAGCTAATAACATTTCACACAACTTCAGTATGTGGTATTTCAGCTTAGATTTGTTACAGGGCTGGATCGAATTAATTCGTTTTCCCCTCCAATAGCTGACAAGCATTTTCTGCTGATATCGGTTCAATATCAATACTAATCCATACTGATATGGCATCTCGAGTGTCAGCAACCAATTGACATAGGCAAGAAAAGCCAACCCCTTTTTAGGAGACCTCACTAGAGTGCTGAACCACTCAGCCCAAAAAGGCAGCTATTACGGAGAAACAAGGAGCCATAAAAGAGCGTATCCCAAGCAGCCACGAAGCCTGAAAGGCCTGGTGTGAGGTGAATAAACATCGGCGAATGGACACCAGGAGCTGAATGACCTCTATTCATCCCTAGAGATCAAACCCACTTCCCTTCTTCCCAGCTAGCTGTAGCTTCCAGAAAGATCCCCCGGCTCCTCTCACTACCCCACCCCACCCCTCCCGGGCTGCGGCTCTGACACAACTCTTAAGAGGATCCTCCTTTGATGAATTACTCCACTTAATGGAATAAAGACATAGGCCATGATTAGGTTTAAGCTTTCTGACGTCAGGCTTCTCCAGCTGCATACATGCACTCGGCAGCCCATGCTAATCGGGGAAGGCCATGTTTGCACGAGGACCTCGCCGGAGGTAACAGGCTCTAAAATGAAAACAATGTGATCCAGTGTGCCCGGAAACACAACAGCCTCTGTCCTTAAATGCCGTCCTGTTGCAAGAGACTTATTTTGTCTGGCTAAAACAAAAAACAAAAAGCCAGGAAGGGAGGAGGAGAAGGGAGGGAACTGAACTGGTAACGTTATTTATCTCACCAAAGAGACTAATGGTGCCTTGCGAGCTGGGATAAAAATAACTGACTCATCGAGTGTCTGTCTGCTCAGTGCTTTGAAAGTGCTGTAATCCATTTTCATTTAGGCTAAACTCAAATAGATTATTAAGGACGTCTCTCTCTCTCTCTCTCTCTCTCTATCTCTCTCTCTCTCTCTCTCTCTCTCTCTCGCACACTCCCTCCTTTTACATTCCACACTCGACTGTAAGCCAAGGCTAAATTGGATAGGAGTGGTAGTTAACTTCCTTCGACAAGACAACGAGCCAGTCAAGTCAGTTGAAAGTAAAACAGTGCCATGTGAATTTATTACATTAACACATTGCAGCTACAATTACCGTGACATCAAATAGCACACTGATAATTCAATTTTCCAATACGCTGGGAGAAAAAATAGAGGTTTCAAAATAACTGCATGCTTAAAATTTCAAAGGGGTCATGCTTAATTTATATAGATGTACCAGCCAAAGGAGTGGAATTAAGCTGCAGCCTATGAAAATGGAATTCATCTTTTATATATCATCAGCAGTGAGGCATCAATAGACTATTGACCGGACAAAATAAAACCATTTATGCAGAGCAGGAACAAGCTGTGCATGGAGGAGAAGTATAAAATAAATCCACCAAGTGCCACACAGGCAGAGTAAACACCAAAAATACTGACACTGAGATATGTCAAAGTCATCTGAATACACTAAATGATCAGATTTACAGGCAGCTTTTCTTCTCTTCTCATTACGCCTGCCACATTGTTTACTGTTTCCACTACAAGTATTCAAGTATTCAGTCCATCCTTGGAGAAACAAACACTTTCAGCCTACAACAGGGTAAAAATGTCTTGTTTTATAATGCTGTAAACATGCCGGGTTAGATGGTGACACTGGGGCAAAGAATGCTTCTTTTGAAAGCTTGCATATGGCTTAGAGCTAGAGATATGCTTCTGAACCTGATGGGACCTGACTATTCACTTTCAGAGTTTTGTTGGGTCAGGTTTGGGCACCATTTCTCAAATATTTCTTGGACTTAGGTCAAGTGCAAATATCCCATGTTGGTTTCTCATAGCATGTCTCCAACCTTGGCCTCATTTTATCCCTACTTTACACTAAACAGATTTTAATCTGGCACCATGGATTCCCTCATAGACATGTTGAGAGCCCAGCATGAATAAAGTAACTACGGTTGGGATGTATAAATATGTAAAATTAAGTTGTACCAATCAAAAACACATTTTCATTAAAAAATATTAATTTTATGGTTGGGTTTGTGATGCCTGTAAAATGCTACTCAGGCCACTCTATCAAAGATGGCCGAAAAATATCGAGATACATTTTTAACCATATCGCTCAGCCCTAATTTGGACACATAACCATTACAGGTGCACTGATCACACATTTTTATGGCATTTTCCAATTTCTTTTTATCCAAATTGGCCCATTTTTTTAGGCCGATCTTATTTTTTTCTAACGTGTTCATAACTAAAATGTGTCAAGTGTCTGCACACAATTAAAATATGTGTTAATGTAACATATTTTATGTTTGTGCAACCACTTAAAACACATTTTAATCTCATAATTTCAAAGAGCTATTTTTTCTCTGTGAGCTGAGTGAACACATGAAACACATTCCAGCACCTTCTATTAGCCAAAGTCACTATTTTTTGCCTATTTATAGATCATGAATCAAAGATACATACAGGTGCCACATTGCTAGTGGCTGTTTAGTTCAGTGAGTCTTGTATAATTATGCTTTGACTTTTTGTACAGGTGTGGCAGCAGCATTCAAATAAAGCATGAGCAACATTTTGCGCTGCGTTCTGCAGTATCACACATTTATTCACAGCTTTATGACACCAATGCAAACCTGAGTGGCAGAAGCCATAAGGGCTCACACTTCTGAGGCATGAGACAACATGAGGTATTTAGATGGAAGTGAAAAAAAAGAGGCTGATGTTTTTAAATTGCATCAGCCTCTTTTGTAATGCGAATTTCACACATGTGTAAATTAAGTTGCGTTATGAAAGTGTTTCACGTTGCAGTTAAGTCAGACTATGTTGGCATGTGTGTAAGCAGGACTATAACTGCAGTAGTCTCTTTTACAACTCAAAAACACTTCTTTACTATGTCTAGTTTCTTATAACTTAGTTCAGCTAATTGTGTATGTAAGTGCACAGTCAGAACCAGCAGATTGTTGCTACAAATGAACAACTGGCCATTGGCTAGTTTATTATTTTTGTTTCCACCAATTGTGTCGCAATTTTATGATGTTAATAACCTGAACCAGGCAAGGTCACTCATGCTGCATTTGAATGCTGCTACTATACAGTCTGAAAGTTTGGGCTCCCTGGTTAAACTACATGTTTCGTTGATTTTCTAAGTTAAATAAAAAACACATCCTCTACAGAGAACACACTTAAATATGGCATCTGTTCTGCAAAAAATGTAGTACAAAATGTTTACTTATTGGAAAAAAGTACACCATAAAAAATAAAAGGTATGCCATAACTTTTGCACAGACTGTAAAGAAAGTGAAATTGGAATCGGCCATAAAAAGTCATAACTATATCCCTAATGATAATTATCACTAAGCTAAATTTATTGGGAATGTGGAGTTATTCCATCTTTGGTTGGTGGTCATCAGGTTCTACAGCTGGACTGATAATTTTCTGAGTTTAGCTGTCTGTAAAGCACTTTGAGCTGCCACAGGTACTTTTATAATAATAAAAGTTATTATTATGATTATAATTATTATTATTATTCTACAGAATTTTATTGGGCTACAATTGGGTTGACTTGAAACTGTGAATAGGGTAAGTCTGAAAAGGAATTACATTAGTTCTCATTCTGAAAAAAAGATGGTCCTTCAAACGTTCTTTAGTATAGACAATTGTTCTATATAGAACCATGACCACTAAAAGAACCATTCGCTTGCTTAAATGTTTCTTTGCATGGTGAAATAGTTCTTCAGATTGACGGAGAACGTGTTGTATATGGTTCTATAGAGCACCAAAAAGGGTTCTTCTGTTGTTATGATGTCAAGCTTGTAACAATAGAAAAACCCTTTTTGACGCTATGTAGAACTATTTTCATTAAGGTTCTACATACAACACATTCTCCATCAATCTAAAGAACCATTTCCTCATGCAGAGAACGTGCAAATGGTTCTCTGGGTGTTCATGGTTATATATATATCTTCTATATAAGAGCAATGTTTTTTTAAGAGTGTATGCAGGTCAAAATAAACTCAATGATAGGTTCACCGCAGGCTCACCTTGAAGTCGCAGATGCAGGTAATAATGTCCCCTATTCTGAGACACTCGCCATCAAACTTGCAAGTGTTGGTGTCACACAGGAAGAGATCTGTGTCCCGGTCATCATCACCTGCAGAACACACACATACACAAAAAAAGAGAGTGAATTTGCATACAGCCACTTAAATATCCAGCAATGGAGAGTCATGAATAAGTAATGTTTATTAAAGTACTGTCCATCCGTTCATAATAATATGTAGTAGGAGTGAGTCAGCATAAGCAGAGACACTGCCATAAAGCGATGACCTTGCAAAACATGGACTATGGGCCTTTTAAGTTCGCTGTCTCACTATGCTATGTTACAGAACATCATTTTTAGTAGCATTGTGCTAACTGTCAGCACCCGCTTGCTCAAACCTATTACAGCAATACAACCTGTACACCATCATGGTTAACATAACAAACCTAATCTTTAGCATGAATTTAACATATTATAATGCAAAAAAAATCTATAAGGAAAACTGATAAAAAATAAGACATAATTAACAAAAACAACCAAACTTATAAGAATCTAAAACATTTGTAACAATTCAGACTGTAATCTTTAAACGTTTCTGCTATTTATTTGAATGAAGAAATGTGAATTGTAAAATGACCGTGACAGTTCACAGTTGAAAACTGACAATCTGATCAGTCAGTAAATTTAAAGTTTATCTAAAACTATCAGAGTCTGTTTTAGAGTCAATCATATTCAATTACATCGACCAGTGTGATCAGATATTGAAACTTTCAGCACATTAAAATGGATATTGGTATTGGTTATCAGCTTTTCATATCAGTTGAGCAATAATGCAGAACCCTAGTGAAAACATATTTCTGTGTGTATGTTTTGTAATTTTAAAAAAGCAAACAGAAATTGTTAGTTTTGGTGTTGGATGAGTAACAACAACTGCCTCTTCAGATGAGCTAACTTAAGATACAGCTAACTGCTAACACAGGATGCTGATGATGACTTTATCTTACACAAGGTATTTTCACCTCTGTGGACGATGTGACATGTTAATTAGTCAGAGAAATATGTTTACACTGTCTCTAGGCATAGCTTACATCAGCTACAGCAGCTAGCCTAGTTAGCAATAAAGCTGTGCTACACCTGTGATCTCTATTGCAGCCTTAACAATGTGCCCATCTTTGGTCACTTGTATTTTTGGAAATGTTACACTGTAACATACATACTCACAAATATGAGCAAAAGCGTGACATTTTACAGTCGTCTTAAAACATAAAACTGGTGTTTTCTCTGTCTTCCTGTTCTGAAACAGAACGAATTCCCAAACAGTGATTTCTGTATCTGAATACTGGTACCTTGCATGGTTAACTGAGTATCGAGCATCAGGCAGACAATGATGGTTGGCACACATAAAGCTTCAAATGTACTACAGGGTTGTACGGTATCCTCTTAAAACCGTCTCCAAATGTTACCGTGGACTAAAGCTAACAGCTAACTTGGTTGGCATGGTGACAACCAAGATGACAGATCAGCTGTGTCAAAGCAACTGAGCATTTTTGCAAACGTCATAAAGATTAGAATCTCCAAAAACTGCTCAAAGGGGCTCCGCTACCTCTGACCCCTCCTTCCATCAGTGCCACCAATCTGTGAGATCCTGCACCACCAATCAGTGACCCCTCCTTATATAAATATAAATGGGTGAAATGTGTTCATTCAGCTGTTAAGACATGGAATAGAAACCTCATCATTTTTAAATACTGCAGAATACCTTACTGTTATACTGCCCAGCCTTTGTTGACGGTGAGCTGTGTACAACTAGAACCATCATCAAAATACTCATGCTGTTTTCATCTCTCATGTTCTGCACTGCTTGTCATAGGCTTGAAATAAAACTCATCTGAGCTGCTGTCTGTTTATGTTCAGAGTCACAGCGTGTACAGTGGAATAACTAGTTTTTTAACCAGCCGAATGCTGAGATGCAGGCCTATTCTTTAGAAATGCTAATGAGGCTATAAACAAACATTCAACGTTTTGCATATATTCAAATATTGTACACATATTCTATGTGTGCATCCTTTTAAAAGGCTTTTTATAGGTTGCGGGCTGATTTGTAGGTCAAGCAGTTGGTTTATGTTTGGTCTCTTTTACAAAAAGTACTTTTGCAATTCTTTTATTTGTTTATTTATTCATTAAATTAGTCTTTAGCCATTTAATTAAAGTTTATAAATTATTTTATCTTTTTTTATATGCTTGCAATAGCTGTGCATATGGATATCTGAGCTGCTATTATACATTGTACATGAAAGTGTTACTATATACAGTTGTATGCAAAAGTTTGTTCACCCATGCTCGAAATCCATGTAGTTGTTATTTTTTTAAGTGAAATTAAGTTTACAATTACTGTTTTATTTGCTGATTTAACATTTTGTAACATATTGTAAAAGATAAAATGTGGCCTGTGCCAAAGTTATTGCATACACAGGACCTTGGTTGCCTGGCCAGCGAACCAAACCCAGGCCCTTATTGTTGTGAGACGACAGCGCTACCCACTGCACCACCATGCTGCCCAATATGTTAAACTCAGCAAATAAACAGAAACTCTGTGCTAAAATGTGCACAAAAATGTCATACTTAAGTTTGCTTGTAGAGGATGTGCTAACTTATTTCAACAAAACATGGCATTTAACTGGAGATGTTCAAACGTTTGCATACAAACATTATGCTTTACAAAATTGTGAGAATTGTCATCTCAATTCTAAGCAAAAAAAAAAACAACATAATTCCCATTTAATCAAGAATCATGCCGCCCTGATCATAAAGTATCAAAGACCGAATACAATCTTGATTAATCTTATGCACATCGTTACACACGTACTACTATATAACATAAGCGAAACAAGTCTTACACTTGCCACTAGCTGTAAAGTGCTTTTTCCTGAGCACCTTGTTCAGCTCTGCAGCATATGCTGAGCATGGCCTGCCTGTGCAAGATCTGAGATTTTGCTGAGATGTCTGACAGGCTCATCAAAAATAGGAGGCTACACAGGCTTTTGAACCCAGCGTGGGCTCTGAAACAGTGTTGATGAATCAGTTTTTGTTAATGGCCACCACTGAGTCCGAATAAAACAAGAACACAAAAAAAAATGTTGCAGCTGGCTGGCGTTTGTTTAACAAACGCAGCCTGTTAAATAACCTGTTCGAACACCCAGTGCAACAACACAGCTCCACTGTAAGCCACACAGCCTGGAATGCTGCCTGTCAACTCTCCTGACTGCATGAGAGAAACAATATTTGTATCATTTGCATCTTTTTATGCATGCCACGCTCATTGCGTGAAGCGTAATCTCTTATGATACGTGGCGTATTTTCTCTCATATATTCACATTCACAGCTCTATGCATCATTGTAACAAGTTTATACTGCAACGAGGAATTGTTTTTCCTCCTTGGGATATTTGATGTCAAAGCACATTAGCTTATGGCAAAGGATTATATATATTTTTTTACTATGTGTTATCCAGTCTCGCCTCGCAGGCTAGAATGAACCGGAACATTGCTCAGCACAACGGCTGCTCCCGAGGAGCTGATGCTACTTAAGGTTCCTGCTAAAGGGCCCGTCCTGGAGAGGCGAGGCGCCTTACGTAACAAGCATGCCTCATTTACATGCCAATTAAAGCAATTATCCACGGACCTCAGAAGCTGCTGAGAGCAAAAAAAAAATAAAATAAAGACTGTGTTTGGTTTGCCTTCAAGAATCAGCCGGGCTGGTTAAAAACGAAATGTTGAAGATGAAGCCTGGCAGGTGCTCTGCAAAACCAGGGCATATGGAGGGCATAGGAGATTCTGACTATGAGCAAAAATGAAAGGAAGAAGAGGTAAGTCATTTTTAATTCTATTCACTTCTTTTGACTCAATATGGCTGTATTTTAATGGATATCCTTAGATTTTTTTAAGAATTTCTGCATAAATTCAATTGTTGAGATAGAAACAAAGTTATTCAGAGTGAAATGCACTGATTACAGTGGTGGTGATAGGAACCAGGGGTCGCCATGTCTAATACACAATATATACAAATATACACAAATATAGCCATTTTATTTACTATCCAAAACCACTAGTGAACCTACACGTGTCTTCTGAGCTTTTATATGGAATGTTGGTAACGATAAAATAGTGGAAAATCTAAAATAATAACTTTTCGGTAACACTTTCTATGAATGTCATGTAAGCATGTAAGCATCTATAAACACATTCATAACATGTTATAATGCATTTATAAGGCATTATAAACATGGCTATAAATATTTATAAAAATGCATTACATGTTATAGCCATGCTCATTATGCATTATGAATTGTTAACATAATACATTATAAGTGCTGTTCATAACAAATTATAAGAGCTCATAAGTTGTATTTGTCCGCTCTAAGTAAAGTGAAGCATACTGTACTAAAGCCTCCTCCAGTGTTAAGAGTGAGGCTTCAAGTTGAAGTATTTACTGAAGGATTTACTGAAACACTAAAACATACATAATAAAGCACATTACAGGCTTCAAATGTCAGAGTTTAAACTAGAGCTGCCATCAGTGTTTTACCCAATGTGGGAAAGGTAATGTACACCACCAATGTACACTTTGCAGTCTCCAAGCTGGGGCTGACTTCTTTGGCACTGACAGTATAACATGTTATCAACACTACTTATAATGCATTATATTAACAATTCATAATGTATAATAAGCATGGCTATAAAGTTTAATTCATTTTTATAAATGTTTGTAAAGGTGTTTATAGATGTGAAATTCATAGAAAGTGTTACCAACTTTTCTTTGGCAAGGCAAGTTTATTTATTTAGCACGTTTCATACACAGAGGCCACAAATGTGCTTTACATTTATAAAAGCAAAAGGAATATCAAAAGAAAAAGCAAAGTGCTTAAGAGTAAAAATCAATAAAAATAAAAAAATGAAGTACAACGCATGTAAAAGCAAAATAAAAAACATAAAAGGGTTTAAGTGTTATTAAAATTGGCTTATTAAAGGTAAAGTGCAAGTCTTTCTGCTGAATTATAGGCACACTATTATGTCTACTGAGCCCATTTGGGGGCTATTTTGCCTCACAACACC